CAGGCTGCACGTGCGCGTTAGATAATATAAGTTACATACAGTTTTACGAGTGTACCGCCTCCTCTCTTTCCCCCTCCCTCCCTCTCCTTTCCTCCTTTTCATGCCAAAGTGACTTGAAATAGACCACATTTGTTAACTTCGAAGATTTTCCTGAAACTGATGTAGATAACGAGGAGCCCTATTTGTCTTGTTGCCCTTGCCGGCCTCGCCGCTGCCTTGCCGAGGCGGCGGGCCCTGCAAGTCAAGGCCGCCGTTCAGGGAGATGACCCTTGGACCCTGCATCTTGTCTGGGCTCTAGCCGAGGCTCTAGCCTGTCCCGCCAAGGGCATTGGATCCGGATACTGGATCCGAATAGGATGGGGCCCGAGGAACAGGTTCATTGCAGTCCATCTTTTCCGTGCGCCGTGTAATCCGTGGGTGCTTGCCGGCGCAGACCCAGTAATTATATTGCCACGAGATGGCTGAAGGGGAAGCAGGAAATTCACGTGTTCAAGTTCTCGTTGCATGTAGGTCTTTCAACGAATGGAAGAGGTGCACATCTTAAGTGTCAGCAGGACCGAGCAGGACTGCCCTTAGTATCTCTCGATCTTTTACACACGCAAAGAGTCCTGCTTCGGAGGCCGTAAAACAGTTTTTCCGTACCTATTAGTAAGAAAGGGGAAAGGGGTCATATCGAAGGATGTCGTGACCAAGGAGCCACAAGTATTCTAGTGGAAGGTACTCTCAATAGTCCATCCACTCGACCGTGGAAAGATGAACAACAATTGCTTTTTAAAAGCACTCTGAGTCGCATGCTGTGTCGCATTTTACTTACGTCACTAAAAGCATAAATGAAATGACAAAAAATATTTGAAAAACAAAACTGTCCTGTATCTTTTACACTATCGTGCTGGGAAAGAAGCGGGGTACCTGGAGAAGGAGGGGAGGGGGGCGACGAGACAGACAAGAGAGAGAGGGGCGAGATGGAGGGAGCGGGCAGGGGACTCTCTTGGAAGAGACGGACCGGGAGGAGGGGGAGGAGTAACGTGGGGAAGAGAGGGGCGTGAAATCCCTGACATTTAAAAAGTGGCATCGCGCGGCGGTGGGCGCCTGGACAGGGGAGAGAGGGGAAGGGTGGGTCCAGCGCGGAATGAGGTATCCGTCGAAGCTCATAACATTATTTCAGTATTCCCATACCCGTCTTTGCACGGATTTGAAGGGGGAAAGAAGAGGCGGCGAACAAGAGTGGATGCTGGGAGAGCGAGGATCGGGAGGAGCGGGGGGAGAGGGAGAAGGTCGGCGGCGCGAGAGAGGGACTCTGCTGGGATTGGAGATTCTTTGCAGCAGCAGACATTTGAGCGGGAATTTCGTAACTCTTAAGTCATGCCTGGAGCGGGGCGAGGCGTGCCCCCTCCCCTCCTCTCTCTCTGGCTGCACCTCTGCTCCCCCCCCCCCTCTAGCGTCCACCCCCACGCCACTATGCTCCGATGCCTCCCCTCCCCCCCCTCCAGTCGTCTCCTATCCGATGGACCCCAACGGTACCGAGCGCGAGAACTCGCATCCCGCAGCAAGGTCAGCCAAACCCTCTACCGGCACTGGCCGTCGATAAGAGCGTTATAAATACGCGTTTCAGGAAGACCCGCGCGAAAAATGGCTGAATAAATGATAATGGCTCTCAACAAAAGCGTAGCAAATCAGCGCGCGGGCAGACCCACCCATCAATAGTGCGATCGTTATGGCCTGTTCGACGGGCGAGGGCGATCGGTAGTGTGGGCGCCCTGCCACGCCCCGGCACGCCCCAGCACGCCCTGCCACACCCCTGCAACACTCTGCCCACTCGGATTCGCCAAAGGTTGTCGCGGGCTGCGCATTGGACACTCGCACCGACTCCTTACCGTGCGGTTGTGTCACAAAGGGACGACGCACACGGTGTTCGGTTCGGCGGACGTGGCGCAGCGCGGCGTGCGGCCTTGAACTACGCCGCGGCGGCTGCTCCGCCTGTGAGCGCCCCTTCGATTCCCCTCGAGGCATGGAGCGCTGCACCGCCGCCGCCGCGCGTGAGGATCGTGCGTGATTCTCTATCTCTCCAATCCGAACAGGCGCTATCTAAATAATTTGCCCGTTTCGTGTTTTATTTTTCGTCGTGTGTAGTATATGTGTATTCTTGTCCCATCGCGGCTAGACTATAGGCTGCTGGCACTGCTGCTACGATGCGCGTTCCCCGGAGACCCAGACCGGTTTGCACCTCTTGTGTTTTGCCCGCTGCCCGGTGCGAAACGGACGCGAAAAACACAAACGTGACTACGAACGCGTGCGGGCGGCGACGGCCCGGTGTGAGAGACTGCTGTGGTGGCGCCACCCCAGAACATGTTGCTGAACCACAGAGCAGCTATACGCGGGCGGCAATCTTTCGCACATGCCTTGTTCTTGTTCTGGCCGCCCTACTTTTGGAAATTCCGTTTCACCTCCGCCCAATGATGGCGGCTCAGCATCAGCCGCGGTCACTCTCCGCCGCCGCGACCACTTTGCATTTCGAGGAACAGTACGCCTCAGAGAAGTACCATCCCCCCCCCCCCCCCACTCCTCAACAAGAACAAGACGTGGTTGGGGTTGAGGTGGCATCAGAGATCTGTTGCTCGCCCCGCCCCACCCGCTCCATGCGCGTCCTTCTCTTCTGCATGACTCGGCGTCCCGACCCGAGGCGCGCTTACACTACACGCGTGAAGGCGCGAGTGGCCTGCCCGCACACCGCCCCCCAAACCCATCGGCCGCGACCCAACCGCCGCGCCCGTACGGTGGGCTGCATACCTCCACGGCTCAACGGCGGGCCACCCGCGCCGAGCGAAGATATACCAATAAAAGGGCATGCACGGTTAACAGAGGCGTGTGAGACTGATAGCAATTAGTGCCTCGCTTACTCATGTGAAGCAACCTGCTGCTCATATTAATTTAGAGCGCCCAGTGCCTCAATTTTGATATTACCTCAATGTGAGGCACTTCATTGGCTAGGGATCACCCGGAAAGTACTCTGGCACGTTCGCCGCGTCGCACGACACTGCTAAGCCTAGCCTGCGCAAGCTCCTTAAACGCCTGATATGTAGGCACCATCTTGTCTGCAGTCCATGCGTGCACTGCGGGGTGGCCTACCCTGAGTATCGCAGGCGCTGAGCTCCCATAATTTGCTGAATGAATCTGCTCTAAAAACTCAAAAGTGTACATTGTATGCTGAAAAATCAGCGATCATTAATGATTCCTGATATATCAGTGTACATGGCATGATTGCTGATATATCAGCAATCATCAATGATCACGTTTAGGTTTTTCGCTAATATTTCCTTTTAGACAGATGTCATCGGAAAGTGGACAGCATTTCCAGATTCCTCGTGAAAAAGGCTTTCAAACGAGCTACTATGTGATAGGGTTCAAATTCACCGCTACCATAACTTGGTTTACATTACCGGCATTTTCGTGAGGCGGACTATTTCGGTTGTGAACCGTATCTCATAGTAGCCCGTTTGAAAGCTTTTTTCACGAGGAATCTGGAAATGCTATCCACTTTCCGATGACATCCGTCTGAAAGGAAATATTAGCCAAAAACCTAAACGTGATCATTGATGATTGCTGATATATCAGCAATTATGCCATGTACACTGATATATCAGGAATCATTATTGATCGCTGATTTTTCAGCATACAATGTACACTGTTGAGTTTTCAGAGTAATGAAAAAACGGTCGCACTGGACGATCTTCTATGTGAGGCACTAGTTGCACTAGCTCTACATAACCCAATAAGGAGGCTTTTACTTGTGCTCTTCATAACCATGAACTACCATTGGGTCAAGCAAAGAAAAAAGTGCCGCCGCATTGCCAAATTAGGGCAGGAGGGACTAAGTTGAATGAGTATTGGTTTCGATAAATCTACAACTGTCCGACTCACCTCCACTTGTAAGAGCCGTCCGGGTTGACGCCTTCGTTCTCGTACTTGATGATGGGGATGGGGGAGGTGCTGGGCTGCGCGCTGGGCTGCGCCGCCTCCTGCTGTTGTGCGCAGGTCGCGGCGAGGCCCGCCGCTAGGAGGAGCATCGTCTGGAAGCAGAGAGCGGCATTTCAGGGTGCAAGAATTGCAATTGTCATATCGGTCGAACCGTTTCCCATATAGAACTGTGGAAAATTGCTGGAATTAATGTAGTTTCACTGTCGCCTGAGAATGGGAGGTTCTCAATACATCTTAGCTTAGCGGCTCCATCAGGCGGCTCCATCAGTTGCTCATTCTCTCTCTCTCTCTCTCTCTCTCTCTCTCTCTCTCTCTCTCTCTCTCTCTCTCTCGTTTTATTCTCGTGCGTCGCTCTCTAAATAGTGTGTGTTCGTCCCGCAGCACAGCCCATATCGGGGCGACACGACACGTAAGCCTGAATCAACATCACGGTGCGTGTGTGGCTTGTGTCGTCT